GGAGGGTTTGAGGGGGAGGAAAGCCAAGATTTCTCCCCTCTTGACGATGGCTAAGAGGGAGCCAGGCAAAGTCTGAATGACCCTCAAAGGAGGCGGGAGGGGCCTTGGGGAACGGAAGCAGCAGGGGGGGGGGAGGAGGGGGCAAAGGAGGGTTTGAGGGGGAGGAAAGCCAAGATTTCTCCCCTCTTGACGATGGCTAAGAGGGAGCCAGGCAAAGTCTGAATGACCCTCAAAGGAGGCGGGAGGGGCCTTGGGAACGGAAGCAGCAGGGAGAGGGGGATTTGGGGGGGGGTAAGCAAGGCGGCTCCCCCCACTCTCTGAGTAACCATTCCTCCCATCCGCAGCCGGAAGAGAAGCGCGTTGCAGTGAAGGGCGGGGATGGTCCACCCAGCGCTGGCAGAAGACTACAAAGTCCATCCGTTGGGGAGTCCCCCGTGGAGGGGGGGGCCACCGCGGGTGGCAGGCGAGGTCTGAGGTTTGGCGCCGTTAAGCTGGCGGCTTCCGGAAAACGCTCCAGGCGTGGAAGCAGCGAGTGAAGGGAAGCGGCTCGTTGCCTTTGCGCACCAGGCGGAGCTTCCGGGGTCGGCTGGCGTCCTTGGACCGCATGTGCTGGATGTAGACCTGGGGAGGGAGGGAGGGAGAGCGGTTCAAGGCCGGCAGTGAACAACCGGCCCTAAAAATATCCAGGACTTGACCTATAACCTCCAGGCCACTTCCTGGATTCCTCAAACCACCCAAGTCCTCCACTTACAGCCGTCCACTTCAAAGTTGCCACAGCACTGAGAAAAAGGGGGCACCTGGGAGCACGTTTCACAGTTACGGCCTCTGCAGCCTCCCCCGGGTCACGTGATTAAAAACCCAGAGCCTTGGCAACTGACTCGTATTTAGGACGGCTGCAGCGAACGGTCGTAAGTCGAGGACCCCCTGTGCACCTTCATGCCCTTAAGAGTGGAGGAGGCCAGGAGAACTCGGGAGGCCTTTTCTCCCCCGAAGCCAAAGAAAGGGGGGGGGGGTGAACACGGAGCCTCCTTTGGTCTCCGCCCTGAACGGTCAAGCAAGACTTCGTGGTCCTTACCTGGCAAGCTTTGAGGCTCAACTTGATTTCCACCTGGCTGGTCTGCGTCCCCACCCACATGTAGACCTGGAGGAGAATGAGAAGGAGGAGAATGAGGAGGAGAAGGAGAAGAGGAGGAGAAGGAGAAGGAGAAGAGGAGGAGGAAGAGAAGGAGGAGAAGAAAGACTGAGGAGAAGAGGAAGAGGAAAAGAAGAAGGAGAAGAGGAGGAGACGAGGAGGAGAAGGAGGAGAGGAGGAGGAGAAGAGAAGAAGGAGAATGAGGAGGAGGAGAGAAGAAGAGGAGGAGGAGAAGGAGGAGGAGGAGAAGAAGGAGGAGGAGGAGAGGAGGAGGAGAGGAGAAGAAGGAGGAGGAGAGGAGGAAGAGAAGAGGAGAAGGAGAATGAGGAGGAGAGGAGAAGGAGAAGAGGAGGAGAAAGGAGACGAGGAAGAGGCAGAGGAGAAGGAGGAGAGGAGGAGGAGAAGAAGGAGGAGGAGAAGGAGGAGAAGAGGAGGAGGAGGAAGAAGAAGAGGAGGAGGTGGTGGTGATGACGACCGGGCGGGGTCTCCTCCAGAGGCGACCAAAGCAGGCATCTCCTTCTGGTTCCCACCACTTTGCAAGCCCCTCCAGGCCACAGCCAGCCAAGGGTCCCATCCGGCTCCTGCCCCAGACTGACCTCGCAGCCGTTGTCCAGCAACATGATGTCATCGTCGGCCAGGTCATCCTGGCAGAAATCGGAGCATTTTTCCGAGACCGCGAAGTAGCCCTTCTCGTTGGAGCACCTGGTGGGCGAGGGAGAAAGCCAGGAAAAAGCCTTGAGACGGAGCCCCGGGCAGAAGGAGGAAGAAGGGGACCCTCCTCACTTCCCCCCCAGGAGGAAACTCAGTCTCTTTAGGAGCCTCTTGGATTCTGCTACAGACGGGAGGGTTTGTCGGATGATGATGGGGAAAAAGGGCAGCTCCTTCTTTGGCCTGTTGCTCTCCAGAAACTTTCCTTTTATTTCGTTTTTTAATTTATATTTATTTATTAAATTTATATGCTGCCCATCTCACCAGTAAAATGAGCTTACCAACAGTAAAAAGACCCATGTAAAGAGAGGGTGGGTCTTGGCTCTTAGGGGAATTAAGGGAGCTTTTTGGGGGAAGAAGGGACCCTCCCCAGGGGACCCACTGCCCACCTGAAAAGACGGGAGAAGTTCATGTATTCGGCATCTCCGTCGTAAGGTTTCTGGGCTCCAATCCCCACCCAAAAGAAATTCTCTGGTTCTTCTCCCTCATTGATCACCTGCAAACCAAGGAGGAGAGGAGGGGAGGAGAAGGAAGAAGAGGAGGGGAGGGGAAGTGGGGAAGATTCGCTTGTGGGGTTTTCCCCAACTGCATTGTCTTCCCCTGTGGGGTCCTTTGAGCTTGATGGTTTTCTTGGGAGACGTTTCATGACCCAACTAGGTAACATCATCAGGGCTAGGAGGGGGGTTGCTCTCTGTTTATATAGGAGTAGATGGCCCCGAGGGTGTTCCTTGTGGTTCCTCACTTAGGCTGTTGATTGCTGGCCAGGAGGTGGTGTGATCCAGTCGCACAGCTTGCCACTGTATGTAAATATGGAGCAATCCCCACTCCCTCCTCCTAGCACTGATGAGGTTACCTAGTTGGGTCATGAAACGTCTCCCAAGAAAACTACCACGCTCAGAGAACAGCCGGGCCCCTGGTGTTCTGAGTTGCAAATGTTCTCTTTACCTGTTTACTGTACGAGTCGTCAAACATGTGGTTCATGACATCTTCGGCCAGCTTGGCTTCATCGGGATTGGCAGCTCGGCCGACCCAGGTGTAGACGATTCCCTGATTGTCGGAACTCTCGAAGGGAACCTGGAAGGAGAATTCTGGGAGTTGGAAGTCCACAAGTCTTAAAAAGTTGCAACGGCTGGACCTCCCGGGGCCAGAGGTCAGCCTTCTCCCACCTGGCTTCCACCCGAGAGGGCTTTAGGCTACATGAATTCAGAGCCAGCCTGGGCGGTGGGGGGTACAAAAGTATTAGCATTCTGGGGGCACCCATTTTGGGGGGATCGGTGCCCCGGAAAGAGGCCTTGAATTCCAACCCGAGAGACCGCCTCCTGCCATTTATCTCCCAACGACCAATAAGATCACACAGGATCGGGGGACAGCAAGAAGCTGAGCTCAACGTAGAGATCTTATTGACTCTCTTTTTTTTTCTCTTTAATTTCCTTTGTTTTAACAAATTTTAGACTGTGTTTGTTAAAAAGCTATACCGTGTACGGGCTCTGGGAAGTCGGGGGGAGGGAAGGGAGGTGGGGTTTTGGGGGGGGGGGGGGGAGCGGGGAAATATAGTACATGTTAGATTTTAAAATAACACGATTGCACTTGTATACTGTTGCTCTTTAATGTTAGTGTAAAAA